CTTTGTCAAATACCACAATACATAGTTACATCCACCAATGCCACTTAAAATTGTACTGTGGCAAATGGAACCCCTATGTTAACAGTGTCCAGAAGCACTGGGCTCGTTCCAAAACTGTTTGAGTTTTTTTGTTCTGTTGAACACAAAAGTTATTTTGCAGAAATTTGTGGTGGTGGGGGGGTGTTTATCACTCTTAATAAACACCTCAGGATATATGCCTGTCAGATGCTGTCCTTCTAGTAAACTCTTCAATGACATGCACTAATGTGAAGGATTTTTTTTTCAGCTAACGCTATTAGCCATCTCATTGTCCATTAGACAGGAGGAAAGAAGGATCACCCTTTTCCTCAAATCTTCAGAGACAATCTAAACAATAGTGGCAGTAAATCTGCTCTGAAGGCATGAAATGTGATCAGGCTAAAGCCACACATACAAAGGATTTTATCATAAAGACAGGCTGTTGCACTAACTGCTGCAATAGTGTTCACCGCACTGTCAGCACAAAACACTTTCACAGGCTATGCTAATGCTAGCAGAATCCCAGAAAGAACCCAATCAGGTTTTCAAGTACACAAAGATGGCCTGTTTTTACAAGCAAAAGTCACTGAGGAACAAAGCGGTCTTCTGGCAAAGAGGAATGAGAGAAATGTAGCACAGTCTGTGCTGATAAGATGAAGGATTACGCAAGGGAAGCTTCACACCGGCTCAGCGCTTGACAGAGACTCACTCTGGGGAAACATGGATCTTTACAAACAAGATGTTGTGGGAAAAGCTTTAAAAGGCCACGGAGTGAGATTTTGATGCTTATATATTCCTACAAGACACATTGCACCGTTAAAAATAAGTGTTTGGCTGAAATTTTTAAGTTGATTCAAATTAACCTACAAGCAGGGTACAAATTATACATTGACGACCGCAAGGGTCAACTTTTTCCGTAATGTTAAATTTTGTAAAACATCCATCAGAGAACCAAATGTATGTATTTCATTGATTGATTGATTCATTCATTCATTCTTTCATTTTCTTTTCTGCTTAGTCCCTTTAATAATCTGGGGTCGCCACAGTGGAATGAACCACCTGTATTTATTTAAATTTCATCTAATTTATTAATAATGTATAAAAATGTATTTACGTTTTCAGTATTTTGTTGAATATTTTGTGTATTCTGACCTATAGTATCCGATTAGCTACTTCTGAGGTTACTTTAAGTCAAACTATACATATAATTTGACTTTACTTTTAAGCTGTATGTAGTACAGTAGTCTTATAGTACTATATAGTCTTGTGTCTTGTGAACAGTTAAGTTTTCTATTGGTGCTCTAGATCAGGGGGTCCCAAATTTTTCAGCCCGCAACCCCCAAAATGACAATGCCAGTGACTCGCATCCCCCAATATCCTCTAAGGTGGTTATAGATACAGAAACCTTGCATGCATTGTTTAATTTTTTAAATGTATGTCAGTGCTGTAGATGGGCCAGAAAGTTTAACCTGGTGTTTTAAAATGAATCTGCTGCATCTGACGTTATTGCTGTATCTTTAATAATTACCCCAGGGGTCGCAATCCAACAGAACTAGTAACTATAAGCTATAGGGACTATATAGTATAAAGTGACTATAAACCACAATTTTTTCTTCTCAGAAGGTTATGGATAAAATATGGCAATTCTTATGGTTTAATAAAAATAAACAGATTTTTGGAAATCACCATGCATCCCCTGGGGGGGTCCCGACCCCTACTTTGAGGACCACTGCTCTATATCTGCTGATTTTAGACTGTTGGAGTTTTTTTCATGCAGACTGATTGGTGCGATTATGTATTCACAGTGGAATGTACCATTATAGGGGTGATCAAATGTATATTTATATTATAAGTAATTTTTTTTTATTTAGTTTAATTATTACTATTATTATTTAAAATATAAAGCAAAGCAAATTATTGCTTAGCATTAAAGAGCTGACCCCCCTATACATGTTGTTTTGATGTCCTTCAGGGGGGATCAACCTTTAATTTAGGAGGTCAATCTCCCTCAACCCCCCTGTAGTTCGCCTGCCTTCAAGTCATTTAAGTTCAATTAAGTTAAGTTTAAAACAGCTTGAGTTAATAACGTTAGATTGAAACAAGGCTTAATTAACTTTGAAAAACATTGTCTTATCGATCATGTAGCTTTATATTTTACAGTATGTTTTTAAGAAAAATGCTGGTTACATTTTAAATATAGACTAAACATGTTTTGTAACTTTGCATAAAATGTGATGTTGAAAATTTAAATGTATTTCAACCTAGATATAACAAAATATATGTATCAAGAAAAAAATCAGAAAAAAACATTATTCAATCTCAATAGAATGGGTAGACATCCAAAGCATTTTATATATGTTGTATATTTGTATGTTAAATATGTTTTGTGTACAACTGTCTAAATTGTGAAAGTGTTTCTATGTTGTATCTATTTTATTAGGATGTATAGTGTATACGGCAGCAAGGTGGTGCAGTGGGTAGCACAATCACCTTACTGCAAGAAGGTCGCTGGTTTGAGCCTTGGCTGTGTCAGTTGGGATTTCTGTGTGGAATTTGCATTTGTTCTCCCTGTGTTCGTTTGGGATTCCTCAAGGTGCTTTGGTTTTCCCCACAGTCCAAAGACATGCAGTACAGGTGAATTAGGGAAGCTACAGTGTGTGTAATGTATGTGTGTGAATGACTGTGTAGAGATGTTTCCCAGTGATGAGTTGTGGCTGGAAGGGCATCCGCTGCTGGATTAGTTGGTGGTTCATTCCTTTGTGGCGACCCCGAATTAATAAAGGGGCTAAGTTGAAAAGGACTTGAATGAATGAATTTAGCATTTTGGATATGACTAAATGATTCCAGACACCCACCACTAGATGGCGAACTATTCACTCTAGTACATGATGCCATTCATTAGGACAGACAGATAGATAGATAGATAGATAGATAGATAGATAGATAGATAGATAGATAGATAGATAGATAGATAGATAGATAGATAGATAGATAGATAGATAGATAGATAGATAGATAGATAGATAGATAGATAGATAGATAGATAGATAGATAGATAGATAGATAGATAGATAGATAGATAGATAAATAGATAGATAGATAGATGTAGTCTCTCAGTGATGAAAAATAGATAGTTCACCCTTTACTTGTTTCAAACATAGACTGTAAAATATAGGTTTTAAACCTTTATGATTTACCAGTGACTTCCATAGGTCTTTTGTTTCCTATTGATGTCAATGGTTACAGATTTTTAGCTTTTTAAAAAAAAAACTTATTTTCTGTTCTGTTCTGACTCACAAAGGTTTAACCAGTTAAGGGTAAGTAAATTGGAGTAATTTTTTGGGTAAACTATCCCTTTAATCACTTCCAAACCAACTGTAGTTATGTGATAGAGCTGAGGTAATGAAACTGAATGGGGGTGAAAGGATGTTTTCCACCAAGGCGACTGCGAGAGGAAGGTGTTTTGGTGGAGGAGGTGTTTTATAATTCGCTCTGCTTACATAAAGGGAAGGTGAGAGGAAGAGTGCTCTTTGTGGCTCTCCTGTCTGAAATGTGGCTTCCTGTTTCTGAATGCCTTTACACATTAATAAGCAGCTCAGCACATGCACACAGTCACAACAACAACAGTAATAGCAACAAACTGTGATGAAAGTAGTACAGAAGTCAGAGTCACATTTCCAGACATGTGGTGTATTAAGTGGCTTCACATTTTGATGCTTGGTGGTTAATCTGTTTCTGTATTAGATAGAGTTTGTTTTTATTTTAGTCATTAGCAAGTTATGATTTATTATTAAACTTGCAGTTACTTAAATGACACTGTAAATTACATAGTGGTGTTAACTGGGTGTGTTAGTTAGAAAAAAATATTTTTTAAACACTATAAAAGAAACAGGATAGGATAATCAAAAGGGTTATTTGCCTAGTTGTCCTTATTTATAGGTGGATAGATAGATAGATAGATAGATAGATAGATAGATAGATAGATAGATAGATAGATAGATAGATAGATAGATAGATAGATAGATAGATAGATAGATAGATAGATAGATAGATAGATAGATAGATAGGTGGAATAACTCATGACAATGAAATAAATATGTAAATATGTGAATTTAATATGTAAATTAACAAATGGATGGATAGTTACTAATATGCAAATGAAACAAAATATAAATGATATGTAAATAGTGATCTATGTGACATAACAATATGACAATTAAGTGATGGATAGATATATAGATGGAATGAATTACTCATATGTAAATGAAATAAACAAAAATATAAACTTATATGTAAATAAAGTGATAAATTTGTGAATATAATGTGTAAATTAAGTGAAAAACACCTCTTTCAAGCACGAACGGTTGTATTATTAGTAATAATGCTGCTTTTTTGAGTGATGTTTTTATTTTAGAAACCAGTATACGTGTTTTATTATTAAAAATATAATTGTGTGAAATAATGTGAGCTGCACTTATGGGTTAATTTAAGCATTTGATGATCTTATAGAGAAAAAAAATTAAGTGATAGACAGACAGTCAGACAGACAGTCAGACAGACAGACAGACAGACAGACAGACAGACAGACAGACAGACAGACAGACAGACAGACAGACAGACAGACAGACAGACAGATAGATAGATAGATAGATAGATAGATAGATAGATAGATAGATAGATAGATAGATAGATAGATAGATAGATAGATATGTAAATAAAACAAAATATAAATCATAAATATATAAATAAAGTCATAAATATGTCAATCTAATATGTAAATTAACGATAGATAGATATATAGACAGACAGACAGATAGATATATAGATGAACTTTTATGAGTGCCTACTATTGATGACTACATTAGTGTAAAAAACGTATAAAATGTCCCTGTTAGATTGTATACATTGAAAGTGTCTGTAATCTAGTGAGGATTGGCCCCACCCCCGTCACCCTGACCACGCCCTAGAAACCCCGGTGATTGACACGCCTTCACCGCGCCGAGCCCTGATTCACACACGTTCGTTCACTTGCGCGCTGGTGCTTCGGACTCGTGCACGGTCGGGCAGCAGATCATCGGTACCAGCACGAGATGTCTCCCTCACACGCGTCCATATAGCGGCGAATTCGGTTTTACAGCCCGGGAATCGCGAAGAAAGGCGACTTCGCACCATCCGGGAGCTTCATCTGGCGCGATTGAAGTCTGCCCAAGCCCGCTCGCTGTATCGCTCGAATCAGCGTCTGGATTCATGAGATTTCGGACATTTTATTGTTGAATATCAGCGATAATCATGGCGAGCGACTCTCCCGCGAGGAGTCTGGATGAGATCGACCTGTCTGCTCTGCGGGTGAGTGGAGAGAAACAGTGTAGTGACTTACAATGGGTGAAATATGTTCAGCATCTCGCCATTAATGATGGAGGGGAAATATGGGAGCTGATATTCATGCACCTGACCGAGAAAAAAACACCTCGTTCAAGCACGAACGGTGGTATTATTAGTAATAATGCCGCTTTTTTGAGTGATATGTGTTTATTTTAGAAACTAGTATACGTGATTTATTATTAAAAACACAATTGTGTGAAATAATGTGACCGAAAGCTGCACTTATGGGTTCATTTAAGCATTTGATGATCTACTAGAGAAAGAAAAGCTGCTGTTATTAAATAATAATGCACAATTCGTGTGGATTTCCTGGTTATGCGGCATGGATGTGTGAATAATAATAGGCTAGCCAATAAAACTGACTAGTCGATAAACATTAACCATTATTAGTCGTTAATTTTTATTTGTGTGACCAGCACGGTTGTATTGATTTAGCTAATTTTGTCAAATCTCACACCGTGTAGCATAAGCAGCTTTTTCCGCATTGTGTGTAAATAATAGCTGGATATTTTACACTGAATGTGTCTGCTATTCATCCGACTGAAATGCCCTATGCTGGATGAGGCCTGTGTGCATTGCAGACAAGTTCACTTCTCTTCCCCGCCATTATATGATAATGAATATAATATATCAAGATGCTTGAGTGGCACACATGTGCAGATATTGTGTTGAGTTTGCTGCTTGTGTGTCTGTCTTTTGTTCGCTCTGTTTGAGATCATTTCTCTGTGACATACATTTTCTAGCTGGCTGGACTGAGGGGTTTGTGTGTGTGTGTGCTGCTCTGGATAGGCGCTTTAACTGATCTGGATGCTGAATTTCTTGTTTTTGGGTTGCTCCCATTGATGGATATTTTAGTTCCCATTTTCCATCAAGCGGAAAAATCACTGGTGCTTAAAACCTGCTGGAATCAAACTAGAAAGCTTGTGTACAAGTGTGAGGTACGACACAAAGGTCAGTTTTCTTAATTTGACACAATGTAAAACATTATTATGTAAAAATGTCTACATTTTTCAGTAATGTAGTGAGGTAGTGTGGGAAACATGGCTCACACCAAAGTTACTTTTCAAGACCTTGATATTTCTGCAATTCATATGACTGGCTGATGGATGGATAGATAGGTGGATAGAATTTCTCCTATGGAAATGAAATAGCCAAAAATATGAACTAATATGTAAATATGTGAATATAATATGTTAATTAAATGATGGATGGATGGATGGAAGGATAGATAGATGCAGTTTTAGTGACTTGTTAATGACCATATTAGTGTATAAAATGTCCCACCTATCAGCCTGTATATTGCAAGTGTAAATGCAACTAAATATAAATCATGAATATGTAAATAAAGTGATAAATATGTTAATATAATATGTTAATTAAGTGATAGATAGATAGATAGATAGATAGATAGATAGATAGATAGATAGATAGATAGATAGATAGGTGGAATAACTCATGGAAATATGTGAATTTAATATGTAAATGAACTAATAAATGGATGGATAGTTAATCATGCAAATGAAACAAAATATAAATGATATGTAAATAGTGATAAATATGTGATATAATAGTATGCCAATTAAGTGATAGATGGATATATAGATGGATAGAATTACTTGTATGTAAATTAAATAAACAAAAATATAATCTTATATATAAATAAAGTTATAAATATGCGAATATAAAATGTAAATCCAGTGATAGATAGATAGATAGATAGATAGATAGCATATGTAAATAAAACAATCTAAATTTGTTAATAAAGTGATAAATATGTAAATATAATTTGTAAGTTAAGCGATAGATAGATAGACAGACAGATGATCGATAGATAGATAGTTACATATGTAAATGAAACAAATAATAAATTATGAATATGTAAATAAAGTTATAAATATGTAAATTAAGTGATAAATAGATATAATTACTCATATGTAAATGAAATAAACAAGAATATCAACTAATCTGTGAATATAATATGTAAATTAAGTGACATACAGACAGATAGATGGATAGATAGTTACTAATATTTAAATAAAACAAAATATATTAATTTAGTTATGAATATGTTAAATGTGATAAATATGTTAACATATATGTAAATTAAGCGATAGATAGATAGATAGATAGATAGATAGATAGATAGATAGATAGATAGATAGATAGATAGATAGATAGATAGATAGATAGATTAAAAAATGATAGAAAAAAAATATATTTTTGCGAATTTAAATGACTGACTGGCTTAAAAAATAAGTGAAATCTAAGTAGGGAACTTGTTCACCATCACTTGAAACTGTCAGTTGTGCAAATTGTTTTTAGTTATTGAACTTGTACGTCATTTGGCAGTGGTATATGTGAAAAATGTCTATGAGGTGAAATAAAGAAGAGATTTAAAGTTTTGCATACAGATTACAAGTGAAAACTAAACTGAATGGCTCCCGTTCACATGGATTTGTGCAATAACTAAGATTCTGGTATACATGACTGGCCAGGAGTTAGCAATGTCACTTTGTAAAGAAACACAACTGTCCTGCCTGCATACAGCCCTATAGACTGAGGTAAAATTGGTTTTATATGAATATAAATATGAATATATTTATGAATATAAAACCAACTTTACCTCAGTGTCCTTAGAGTCCATCAGTGTTGATTTGCTGTTAAACATATGCACATCACTATAGACCGTAATATATATACATAATGTCACTATACTTTGCATACTTTACTATGTAATATCACGTTCATGTATTTTCACACTGACAATAGTTTTACAATGTTGTCATTTTAGACACTCAAAGCATTCTGAAGCTACTGTATGTTTTAGGGTCTAACTTTCGTCATTCAAATCTCCCTTAAGTTTGTCACATTCTGCCATGAGTTATAAATGTGAAAATATACAACTTACTCCAGTTTCCTGTAATGCTGCAGACATGCTGCTTTTAAGTTTGCACTTTTCAACACTTATCTAAAAGGTCAAGATGTGGCAAATTGATCATCTATTGGTCAACACATTTGAACTTTGGAGCACAGTTAAATGTAAAAAGCAAATTGGTTGAGCTTGCATTTCCAGTCTTCTACTCACTTCCATTTATAAATAATATCTGAATGTAGAATGCAGATAAATAAAAAAACAGAGTATAATAAATGTTCAGTTGAGCAACATTTATTTAATACATGTTATTGTTCTGATTTTGAATGATACCTAATATTTCACCAAAAGTTCAGGTAAAAAACATCTATTATGATATACAGTATGCAAGACACCAAATGTTTAGTTCTTCTAATAAACCCTCAGTATCTGTTTGAAATGCCCACATCTCTTAATTTACTGAACAACAGATTCATAAACTCAGTTTCATTCTTTTTCAACTATCAATTACACTTATTGGTTTGTCATAATATAGGAAAAAAGTAAATTTTATCATGCCTTTTCGGATGTTGACACATGGCAGGTCTGGTTCCAATAAAATGAACCCTGGTGTGATTGCTCTGTAACTTAGTGAAGTTCATTTGAATAAGTTTAAATGCTGTCAATTCTTGGTGTGCACCAAGTAAACCAACAGAGACCTTTTAAAAGACAAATCTACAATCACTTTAGAACCAACTGTGGTGTTATTTGATTGAGATATAAATGAAAAATGGACCAAATTAACCAAAAACAAGAGAAGGCATTACTTTTAAAAGGACAGACTGCTCAAGTAGGTCCTATCCCTGTTTTTCTTATAGTAACTTTGATGTTCCCCATTGCAAATTCATCAGATTTTCATTTGTAAAAGAAGTACAAAAAATGAAGATGAATAATATAGAAAAATAATTTGAACATTGTCAAATTTTAAAAGATGGTATCGGATCGGTTTATGGTATCAAATACTTGTTGAAACCGATGCCAGAATTTTTCGAGTATTTCCGATACTAGTATCGGTATCGAAACAACTCGATTGATAAACAGCGTGCGTGTAAAAGTTCTCAGACAATACAAATATAGTCGCACAATCATTTTTTTAATCTTTGATATGCCTGAAAGCCATTTTTTTGTTTTGTATGTTTTTGGTTCACTGTTTAAAGTGACAGTGTGAACACTTAGCGAACTATGCTTGATGGATAACTAGAGAACTCAACAACATGTTTGAACAAACCAAAAATACCTTCATGATGCTAATATATATTTTAAAATTCAAACCTAAATTTTTGGATGCGTTATGTAATTCACCTACACATCACTAATTTCTTTAAAGCCTGGCTCCTTTTGGAGTAATTCTAGTTTGAGCGTTTTCTTTTAGATGTTTTTCTTTTGACTGAGCACTGGACGCTTGGGAGGCATTCACACAGAATGCGTTTTTCCCTTCCAATGCGCTACTTTTCCATTGTTTTTCATGTAAACTTATGTAAACTTGACAGGTGACCATTATGTGACTATTATATAAATACCTCCCACATGATCACTGTTTTTAGGAAGTTGTGTCAGTTTAAAAAAATAAATGTGACTATATTTGTATTATTCAACAAGTAATTAATAATAAAAAAAATTCTATATTTTTCACAGCTAATTTTCATAATTTTCTAATAGATAAGTCTGAAGCACATTGTCAATGAATTCTGTCAATTTATACAGAAGTATACACAACAGTTTCTACAGATACACACTCGGATATCGGTTCAGTACTTGCTATCACCCGATACCCTGAGCTCAGGTATTGGTTCAGTACTTGCTATCCCCTGATACCCTGAGCTCAGGTATCAGTTCAATACTCATTATCGGTCGATACCCTGAGCTCAGGTATCAGTTTAGTACTTGCTATTGCCCGATACCCTGAACTCTGGTATTGGTTCAGTACTCGCTATTGGCTGATACTCTAAGCTCAGGTATCGGTTCTGTACTTGCTATCGCCTGATACCCTGACCTTAGGCATTGGTTCAGTACTTGCTATCCCCTGATACCCTGAGCTCAGGTATCGGCTCAA